GCTTATTTACAAAGAAAAAACGCCATTAATAAAATTGTTTATTTATTTATATATTTACAAGAAATTATTTTTTCTTCTGTATGTGTTTGAATTTTATGTTTTGTGCTTAACCCCTTCCGTAATTTGCGCGAGATAACTTCATTTTTCAAAAAAATATTTTTCCAAGTTAATTCGGTCAGATAACTTCTCGTCGTATTTTTAATTATTTACCCGAATTTATCATGTTATCATGTATTACGTTAAGCTATCAAAAAGACTAAATAAAAACTGGCTTTTTTTAGCTAATTTCCAAACACAAAGAACCTACACGGAAGGTATTAAAATACTAAAAGCTTTAAGCTCCCTCTTGCAAACTACTTTATTTCTATAAATTTTATATCAATACACTTGATTTTGTCATAAACAGGTTGTATTATTAAGCATTAAGGAATTAAACAGATTCCTTCTGTAACTTTTCGTACTAAACACCTCACTGCATTCCGAAAAAAAAAAGCAATTTACTGTAAAACAATGACTGTTTAAAACAATATTTTCCGGAAATGCTCGCTGCTTGCTTTCGGAATATCAAAGGTTCTCTAGTTCATGTTACAGCTAATTATACTGCAACACGGGACAATTTCCATCCGTGTAATAAAGTATCTTGTCAAAACTTTGAAGTTCATGACAACTATTGATACTTTCTTGGACAGAAACAATATAAAATACCAAAGATATTACTTGCACAACACCATTCATCTTGTACAGAGTAAAATGTTAAACATCATGATATCGGACAAACCCCGAAAGACCATTAAATAGCTTTTTAAGAACCATAAATCTTTTTGTCTTTCTAAAACGGATTTTTCATTGCCTAATTTTTCAACCAATGATTTCTTACGATGAGGAAACTGCGTTTATATCGAAAGGTAATAGACAATGAAGAAAACGTGTAGTAATATCCGCTTTGAATACCATTTATCCCATGACATTAATATTAATTCTGTTATTTGTAAACTTATGTTTTAATTTATGTTGTATGTATGTTTCTATTTTAAGTTATTTAATATATTGTATTTACATATATATTTGTAATCTTTATTACCCTTCTTTCTTTACCTAAGATGTGCCATGATTTTAAACAGGAAGGTTCACAGTTAACATCCTTTTGCCGTAAAAACACGCTCCGCACTTTAGAAATGTGAGTGTGCTACAAGAATAACGGTCACATCCTAATATTCCGTCATTCAAAAGTAACCTAAAAGTTGCCGGTGAATTTTGTTGACCAGCCGCATTTCTTTTGCTCTATCAGTTCAAAATTAGAAACGATTATATAAATATATAGATTGAAAAAAATCCACTTAGTTATATAAACAGAAACTAGCTTTATTTCTTGAAAAATACGTGCAGGTAAAGCTTGTGTAGTTTTGCGAAAATTGTAAACAAACAGAATTGAATTACTTAATGGTCAGTTGCAATTGAAAGGTTTTTAATGTTCATTTATATAGATTTTCTAGAAATATTTTTAATCACTTACCTTTTTTACTAATTCATTTATCGGTATTTGACATTTTTTACGCCTTATTTCCGTTTCTTCCTACACATAAAACCACTATAACATTTGCGATAGTCCTTTTCAAGACCGACATAAGTATTGTTAGAATTAAATTATCATAGAAGAGATGATGCTGAAGGTCAGTTCACACCTTTTACTAAATTCCAAATCTCTCTTGAAGGAAACAAAGCAGATTTCTGAAAATGATTTAGTCTTCGAATTGCTGTAATTACCTCTGCCACCGTAGGTGGACGAAAGTTATGTTTTCACCCTTGTGTGTGTGTGTGTGTGTTTGTTTGCGTGTTTGTCAGCAAGATTTCTAGAACACGGCTGAATGAATTTGAACGGAAGTTGCTATACATTTGGATTATGAACGAGGTCATAGCAAGGTCACGAAATCCCAAAAATCCCTTTCTGTTAACATGGGGACCGATTTTTCACACCATTTTTTTGCTCTATAACTCAATGAAAAATTATCGGATTTTGATGAAACTTGGTGGACATATGTAGAATATTATTCCTAATTGCCCTGCCAAAAATAACGACGGACATACGGATCCATTTTCTTATTTTTTGAGAGCCGAATATGATTAACATTGCGTGGCGAAGATATGCGCTCTACTGGGTGACCCTTTAGTTTGAATTTGTGTTTTTTTTTGGCTCTACAGGTTTTTAAAATATGGTGAATTTCTCCATATTTAACCAACTTAGATGAACATACTTTTTTCATAACATAAGCGTTGTAGTGACTCTATGTCAAAGTACTTACATGAATACAGCAGATACACGAAATACATCCCTCTAAACGACAAATACTCGACTTTTCAGCCGTGGGGGCGTTATAATGTTACGGTCAATCCCACTATTCGTTGGTAAAAGAGTAGCCCAAGAGTTGGCGGTGGGTGGTGAAGACTAGCTGCCTTCCCTCTAGTCTTACACTGCTAAATTAGGGACGGCTAGCGCAGATAGCCCTCGTGTAGCTTTGCGCGAAATCCAAAACAAACAAACTAAACGACAGTATATTTTCTGTACCTGAGCCTACCCCTAACGGCTTGAAAAAAAAACCACTTCGGGAATCTTTGAAAACGACAGTTACTTAGTTTCTAGATAACTACATGTTGCTGATTCTATAAATACATTTTATTTGTAAACATCAATTCTTGTTATATAAACCTGTCGCATAGTACCTGCCATACGAACAGGTACTTCCTCACCTGAGATAAAAATGTGCTTTACACCTGAGTTATAAACAGGTACTTCATCACCCGGAGTTATCAACGAGCAAGGTAGTAACATTACGCATACATACAGGTACTTTAGTAGCTCTGATGTAACTATGTACTTCAGCACCTTACAGACGTGTCATTTGTTTCATTACTCGATATGTACACCTATAGCTTACTACATGACAATACGATAGCACCAAGCATATAGAATAACTCTTCATCACCTGACATATAATCATGTATGTTACCACCTACTACATAAATCGCAATTGAAATGTAAACAGATATTATAACACCTTCATACAACCATGTACTTTACATCTGAAGTTTTAACATCAGGGCTCATAAAGCGACTGACATATAAATCCATAATTTTAAAGTTTAGAGAAGGCTTTAATAGATAGCCAAAAACCTTTATTACAAGTTTAACACAATAACAAATGTGCAAGATTTCTAGAAGGTTGTTTCTTCATCAGTTAACAAATACAGTCACATTTTAAACAAACAATACTTATAAAACTGAGCTACAGTATATAATGTATAAATATTATTTCATTAGCTGATAAATAAAATAAATAAAGATACTTTATCACTTTGCATATAAACATAAATTTCAGCATATTACATATAAAGAGGTACTTCAGTACGTAAACTTTAGCACCTTACATGCCTCTTATATACGCTAAGTTTAGCACCTTACTTACATATACTTTAGCTCATTAACTACATGTACTTTAGCCCTTTACATAGATATACTTAAGCCTCTTACACGCATGTACTTTGGCATCTTTCTTACGTGTATTTTAACCCTTGCTTACACGTACTTTAGCAGCACCTTACTTACATGTATCTTAGCGGCTTAAATACATGTACTTTAGCAACGTACTTGCAAACATACATTTTATCGCCTAACTTGAACGTAATATAATGTCGCAAACTTGGTATTTTACGTAGTAGAATCTTAACAGTTTCAATTAATGAAAAGTTTTGTAGCCGTTTCGTAATACTCTGTTATCCGCAATGGCCTCGACTGGAAACACAACCTGCGCACAGTAAATAGATGAAGGCTGTTACTTGAAAAACTCTAAAGTAATATTTTTTGCAATATTTTCTTAGATACGAGCGTTAACATATGCAATTATTCATTACTATGTATTAAGTTTTATTACTATTTATGATATTGTTTGCTACGTCCTATAACATATTTCACGCACTAAAGTATTTCTAAATTACATGCTTTGATAAAAGATAGCATGGAATAAAACAGGCAAAGGAAGCAAAACAAAAGATAATGTATATTATTACGTAAATAGTTGAGTGTTTTTTACTTATCTTACACTTTGAGCTGTCTAATTCCGTATTCCAAGCATTTTTCGAAAATAGAAATGTGTTAAATATTGTTAAATCATTTGTTGTCACATAACGTGCAAAGAAGTCTCTATTTAAATTGTTTATCTAAGATACATATATAAAAACATGCTGAACTCAAACTTTTAATGATCTGAGTGGCTCGAGATTAAATGGAAAGGGGAACAAGGAAGAAGACAATAGGGAAATAACGATTTTCCCCTTATCGCACATATAACATTTTCCCCAAAATTGTTTCGAGTTGAAAGCTATATGATGAAAGTAATATCAAGGTTTACAATTCTTCGCCACGATAGAGGGAGGACTTGCAAAAGGCTGAATCAAAATTTTCCAGAAAGATTTACAAGCTGCAAATGATTTTTACTTAGTTTCCTTTTTTTATAAGAGCTATTTCAAGTATTCTTATTGCATTCAACGATATTACATGGGACATTCTTCTCATCGTTTTGTAGGATAAAATGCAGCGATTATGATAATAGTATTTTTAGAAATCGGCGAGTTACATATTTTTATCGTGTTTGTACTGATACGAGGATCTCCGGACGTCAGTGGCGAAAAGGATGTCTGTTAATCACATGATGAACAGCCTGTCAGCATTATCGTTAAGTGCACTTATCGATTTGAGAGTGGAAAATGTGAATTCATCAAGCGGATTCTCTTTTATATTCTAGTAGTAAGCATGATAAGTACATGTAGAAATCGTTGAATAATAATACTAACGGATTTTAGTGTAAACGATAATTCCTTTGCCAGCTTCAGAAAGAATGCTGTAAAACAGCTTATATGTTTGCTAACTTCCTTTACTGTATTGTTGTAAAATAACTAACGACTGAAAATCAAAATTGAACTAAAAATTCACGTAGGGAAAAACTAACCAGAAAATCCTTCTGAAGTTCCAGTGGGTTTCAGTTTGATTCCAGGCGTTCCTGAAAAGTAGACGTAAAAAATATTTGATTAACTTCACAAAAAGTATTTGAAAAAATATTGTTCAATATCTAAAGGAGTTTAAAATGTTCTAACCGGGCTTTCAATGTTTTTTATTAAATTTAACGAATGACATTAAGATCATGGCGTAAAGCCAGTATGAAAAAAAAACACGTATTTTTTACGGTATGATATAACATCACGCATAAACACATGGGTTTAATAACATAATTTGACATATTTAATGTAGAAAATTAGAACATGTGAGAATTATTGAATGCTGTAAAATACTTCTTCATAAGTTGAAATATGTCCCTAGACAAAGTAGTAATGCTTATGCTTAATAGTTTCATAAAACTAAGTTGAACCTCAGATATGAAACAGTATAGGATTTAATTACTTCAAAGTACTACATTAATCCATGTAAGAATGTCCTTGTTTAGTGTACATTATTTTTTAGAAGTTCAAGTAAATATCCAACCACATTTTGTTTGTTGAGTGTTGTTACTCTCTACCGTATGTCTGATTAAAATAACACTATGATACAATACCACTTGCACTGAGTGTATTTTTTGATAAATTAAAACTATCTTATGAGATAACACTAATTACATTGATGGTATTTCTTGACAAATTTTTTGTTTGTTTGTAATTAAACACAAAGCTACACAATGGGCTATCTGTGCTTTGCCCACCACGGGGTATCGAAACCCGGATTCTAGCGTTGTAAGTCCGCAAACATACTGCTGTGCCACTGGAGACTTGACAAATTTAAGCATGATTCTAGTTCGCGTGGAATACCTGTATTCAAAACTATTTCTGGTGAGTTTATAATGTGGCACTAAACAACATGATTTTGATAAGTTTGAGATATGAAACCAGACCACTCGGAAATGCATTTGTTTAATCGAAAACATAATTTTAGACAAGTTAGCGGCATGAAAATAGACCCCACAGAAATTATTGTTTTTAGAAAACATATTTTATCATATATATTAGAACATGTGAGGATGCCTATATTTTACTACATACTATTTGATAAGTTTTACTAAAACGTTATTAATTTATTGTACGAAACCGTATCATGTGGAACGTTTTTGTACAGCAGCGTACATTTTCACAAATTTTAATGGTAAATTGCATACCCAGCTATGTCCTTGTTGAAAGCCTGACAGACCAAGTGAAAGTCTACAAGTAAAAGTGAACTCTCAATCTATAATGGGCTTTCTTTTTGAAGCACTTGTAATGCACTTTAAATGCTTTACCTTAAAAGATTTGTAGGTTATTTTAAGGAAACTGCACTTCTCCATTTTTATTCTCTTGAAAACGCCGAAAACACGCACAAATTTGCTGAAAATGGGCAAAATTTCTGAAAGGAATTTCAGTAGCGTTCATTATCCAAGAAAGTGTTTGTAAAGCAGAAGTGGATCGGAAGTGAAAAGTGGTAGCAGTCGAGTTGGAAAACGTGGAAGAAATGGCAAAGCAGTTGCGTCACTTCCTGTTCAAAGCAGCCCATTTCACAGTAGAGATGTGGTCAAGATTTCTACTGTGTGAATTTGGTACATTTAATGCATTAAATTTAATAATATTATTGAATTTTGTTTTTACAGAAGTAATTAATACACTAAAAATTATTTTAATAAGCACTTATTCTAACTCTGCTATAAACCGGAAGTTAAATGATGTGAATCAGAAAAGAACGAGAAACTTAAACAGCAGCAATGTATTGTTTCTTCGCATTTTAGCTGGAGATTTCATTACTGCATATTTTGGTTATTATGGAAAACGAGCCAAAATGCTGATAATTATACTTACAGTCTGTGTATTGTGCTGTGAGTTTTGTTTAAACTCAACTGTTTACAATAGCTACTACAGTAACCATACAGGAGTTATTCTACAAAATATTTTTATTTTTCAATATATGAGAAAGTTTAATACTAATTTGTTTTTACTAAGTTAGCAAACCAAATTTGGTCTGGATCGGTCAACTCGTTTAGGACGGAGATGCGGCCACAGACAGACAGAAAGTTTTCCTTGATATTGGATACTTACTGCACCAGTATGGCTTAATATGTATATATATATATATATAGGGCATATGTGAAGAACTTGTACTGTTTACTAAAAATTCGTATAGTGCATAACATCTAAGTAAAGTCGTACTGTGCATAAAACCCAATCAAGCAAGACATGATCCTGTAGTTAACTTTAGGTGTGAAAGTACATCACAATAAGAATGATAATAATTTTAACCACTTGTGTTTTTACAAATTTCTCAATACAGGGTTCCAGTACATAGCGTGTATGTATGTTATATGCTGTTTTTACTCAATAGTAGAGTTTATTCAAGTGTCTATAATTGTTTTATTGCTTAAATTGGAAAGATTTTGTAACATAGAACAGTTTGTTTGTTTTAAAATGTTCGTATTCGCTAGCTGTTTATCTTATTTCATAGTAATTTTTTTATTTATTTTAGAGATCACAATTCAACCGAACAAACCTATACTATAATTATGGAAGTTACCTCTGACTGATTCACCAGCTCTTCTGATTAAAATAGATAATAATAAACAACTGGTGTTGAATAGATAGTAACTATTGTGTTATTAACCATATAAATATCACACTTCACCAATTTATTGAAGTTCTTACCATAACAGTTACTGTTTATGTAATTTCATAATGTAAATAAAGTCTCAGCCACTGCTGTGTTTGTTGTATTCCAGCGGCCTGATTAGCTCTGGTATTGAACAAAAGGCCTCATTGGTACTGGCTGTAGCAGATATAGTGTGGTTGATTTATTGCCATACATTCTTCTTTACTTTCACTCATAAGTTTGTAGAATCATATTGTACGTTTGATCTAGGAATCACGTTAAACAAAAGTACACTACAATTGTTAATTTTATCTCTGATATCAGCCATACTGTATATTTTTTTAGTGATAAAGTTACTCAGATTGACTGGCAACACAGAACCACATTATAATTATTAAAGCAAATTTGTTTATTTAGCAGCTTATGTTCCTTAAAGCTTAAAATATTCAGTCATTGGTTCTTATATTGGATTGTGGCTGAACCAAATCAATTATATATATATAGGTGAAATTGTCATTAATTAATAAAGTTAGATCTGCAGCTTGTTTCATTATATTCAAAGTATAAGAGCATTTGAAATAACAAAAATCGTTAAATTATAAATAAATATTCCAGGAGTTTTTTTACTTAATATATTCTATCGTGTAACGCATGCTAACATACATTTTTGTGTATGTTGAAGAATGATTTGGGTTTGCGCTAAATATGGTTTTGGCTTCAAGCATTAAATCTTCGTAGATATTTTTGTCCGAGCCGTTCAGTTACTCGTGCTTCAGAAGAACAATTTGTCAATAAAGCGGTATGTCGCCCCTGGAACAAGCCCTGGTGACACAGGAGACATGTTTAGCGTCCATATATTTGGTTATTTAGTTCAAGGCGAATTCACGAGCAGTCCTTTCAGGGGAAATATATTCCTAGAACAAAGAAGAGGTAAATGGAGTCTCCAATGTTCTCCACAGAGTTATAAAACTCTCGAATTAAAACATTAAAACAGTATCGGAAAGCAACACTCTCATCGGCAATGTAAAAGTTATGACTATGATGAAAACTCTCCCCCTCCAAAAAAAACATTATTGTGATCAAGCTGAACATACCTCCTGAGACCATTACCAAGATAATAAACAAGTCAGAAGTTCACAAGCTTTCATTCACCTGGTATATTT